CAACCAAATTAGTAATCACTTGTAAACAGGTACTTCTAAAGTGTCTACAACAGTGCTTTTCTTAATAAGAACAGATGTTTGTCCTAAATTATTTTAAGACTATTGTTTAGCAAACACTCAGCTTTGTGACCAGCATGATCCTTCATGGGCCAGCTTACTCAAGAAACTGAGATCATTTTGTATCTATTCTGGGTCTCTTATGTGTATTTAGGTCTACCTTCAGCATTGTTTTCCTTTTTATCATAGTTTACCACTTTAGTTTACAGGGTCCAGAAAATAAAATATTTGGACTATGAGACTATATATGCTAGTGCTTTAGGCTCTGGAATCAGTTGATCTGGCTCTGAGTGCCAGCATTGTTGTTTTTAATGTGTAGACATAGAAATTTTAAGCTTCTCTCTTGCTTTCCTCTCTCTCTTTTCACATCTGCACAAACATGTTATGAGATTGTTGTAAATATAAACTGAGTCACTGTAAAAGCCCTTAGCACAGAACTTGCTCACAGTCAGAATTCAAATATCAGATTTTTTTAGAGAGATTTTTGCTATAGGACATGTGTACTTGCCCAAAAGATGGAGACAGAAAGAAAGAAATCACCCCCAACCCCCCAGGGGGATGGCCACACTGCAGTCCCTTCTCCATTGTCCTCTCAGGATCTTGGGCATGCATGCACATGTGCCTGACACGAGTTTATGCCGCCAGGTCCAGAACTCGAACTATAGTTGATTATGTGGGAGTCCAGTGACATAACATTATGCTATCTACTGGTCCTATCAAATATCAGCTTTTGGGAACAGTAGTTGGCATAGTGGCTACATCGCTGGACTCCCATGTAGTCAACTGTGGTTTAAGTCCTGGACCTGGTGACTTAAACTCACGCTGGGCACGTGTGCTTGCGTGCCCAAGGTCCCAAGAGGAGAATGGAGGAGGAGGGATTACAATGTGAGCATCCCCCCCAGAGGGTGATTTCTCACTTTCTGTCAGTCTGTCTCTGTCTTTCTGGCGAGTGCACACGCACTATAGCAAAAACCTCTACTCCCCCCCCCCCAAAAAAAATCAGCTTTTTAAAAACTCATATTTATTTTTTGGTATAGACTGATTTCAAGAAGTACAGAGTTTCCTGTTTATCATTTATGATGTGATGGCTTTGACTTACCTTGAAATGTAAATACCTACTGTTGAAACCCTCCCAGTACCAATCCGTGTTCCCATCTAAGACCAAAAGAGAAAGCTTCTTCTGACGTTAGATCTTGATGAAAAAGGTCATTTTAGATAGCAATCAGCCTGGACTTGTGACTTCTGGTATTATGAGCAACGTTGAGAATGTGTGCATTAAGACCAGGGTGCTTTCTGCAGATGTTACTGAGCAGGCACCCAGCTGCTGCTCAGCCCCTACTCCTTGGAAGTAAGCCACACTGGGCCCGGAGTGACTTCAGAATCGTATGCAGGGGACCAGTCACAGCTGAACAAAACTTAACACTGTTGAGGCGCTGTGTCCTGTGGCAAATCAGCAAAGAGAAGAGACCTGAAGGAGTCGGACCATGCTCAGTTCTCTGCTTGTTAAACGTGTTTGTGCAGTTTTTAAGCAAGGTTTTATTTCTTTAATTTATATATTTATTTTACATTCATTCACTGAACATCATCTCAGCATACAAAATGAGATTTCCCATCCAGAATACATTGTATAGAGGCTTAATTGTACATGTTATCGTCATACAAATAATTTTCCATTTCTTTTGTTTAATCACATATATCTTTATAGTGTATAGTATTTCTTTTTCCAGCATGATTGCCATGCATATCAGTCAGGAAATAATTTTTTGCTTGTTTGTTTTATGGTTATCATAGTCTTGTTTATATCACATTGAATCACGTATAACTTTACAGTGTATTACATTTCTTTTCCTAGAAAAGATATACCTTGCATATCAGTCAAGACAAAGACATTACCATCCACATCATCATCATCAAATAGCTTTTCATCATTTTTCCAAGGTTGTATTTTTTCTGTCACCTGAGCTCCTTAAACTACATCTGTAGGTTGTTGATCCCCAAGTTACCATCTCACACTGGAAGAGAGGAGTTGAGATATACATTATAACATGAAATGAGACCCAGTCAGTGTTTTACATGCTAGATCATTATGATTATTTGAGAGATTGTTACTATAGGGTATGTGCAGTCACTGGAGAGACAGACAGAAAGTAAAAATTCACTCCCCAGGGAGATGGTCACACTGCAGTCCCTTTTCTTCTGTTCTCCTCTCAGGACTTTGGGCTTGCATGCACATGTGCCTGGTATGAGTTTTAGGCCTCTAGGTCTGAGACTCAAACCACTGTTGGTCACCTGGGAGTCCCAACACCTTAATCACTACACCACCTACTGGCCCTAAATTGTTATTACTTTTTATTTTATTTTTTAGAGAGATTTTTGCTTTAGGACGTGTGTGCTCAACAGAGAAACAGAGAGAGAGAGAAAGCAAGAAATCACCCCCCGGGGGGAATAGCCAAGCTGCAATCCTTTCTCCTCAGTTCTCCTCTCGGGATCTTGGGTGTTCATGTGCGTACATCCAGTGTGTCTTAAGCTGCTGGGCCTGAGACCCGAACCACAGTTGACTATGTGGGAGTCCAGTGATGTAACCATTATGCCATCTGCTGGTTCCAAGATTATTATTATTTTTAAAAATTCCTGCATAGGGATGAAATAACTGAATTGCCAAAGCAAATATCCAAAGCATGAGGGTTTAGTCAGCAAGTAAATTTTTCTGAAACTGAAACACACAATCCTGAAGTTTAGAGTGCCAGATTCTATTTTGAAGCTTTTAGAATGAACAAGAAATCTTGCAGAGCGATGAAAATGCCCCAATGACATTGGGGATGCACATAGACTCTCCTCCCTTCCTCTCCCTCATACTCCTTCAATTCTTATCCGCCTGCAGCTCCTCAAAGGAAGAAGAAAAACCCACCCTCCCTGGCCTCTTGTTGGCGGTAGAATTTATTCAGTAATTTACTTTTCAGCCAACTACATCCATTGCCATTGCCTCTGGGCACTTGTTCAAAACACAGAAATGAAATAACAGATTGGCCAGACCGAACACAACTCCCCAGTCACAGCCCTGTTATCTCCTCGTTCTGTCAAGCCCATTAGGCAGAGGCCTGGGAGACCGGATGGTGACAACACAGTATTTATGTAGCTCGTGCATCTCCATAGTTCACGGCTTTCTGGCAGCGCCCCCTCTTCCTCTTATTCCTTTGCACGCAGAGTGATGAGAATGGGGTCGGATCCCCTATCTATAGACCTGTACTCCAGCCTGCCTCTGCCCATCCTGAAGGGCATCTGGGCTACCTTTTGGCCTGGAGAGGGGCACTCAGTTCTGAGAAAGCAGGAGCAAGACAAAGGGACTATCTTCATCCATTTGCTGGCCACCCGCCTGTGAATGGATGTTGTTAAAGCTGCAGTGTATGAATTTTCCAGAATCTCTAGTATATCTCAATGACCAGACGAAGGTTGGTTTCATGTTATTTATAGCTGTTCTATTCAGGTCAGAGCCAGACAGAGCAGTTGCTTCATTTACTATCGGCCATGTGTGGTCTCTGCAGGACCATCTCCTAAAAAGCTGAGGTGTTTCTGGACAGAGACAGAATGAACGTAGAGGAGAGAAGGATCTCTGTCTAATCCAGAGAAGATTGTTTTATGATCGTGACCTTTTGGTGAAACTCCTTTTAAAATTACAGGCACAAGATACAAATGCTTGGGAGAGGTGGGATGTTTCTCCCTTGATCAGGTTTTAAAATAGAGAAGTTGTAGAAGTCATGATGAGGGATACAGAGGAGAACTTTCTCTCTTCCAAAATAGTCTTACCCTATAGACACTGTTTCACAAAGGGTGATAAGCTTTTTGGAGTGATTTCTGCCTCTGTGAATGATACCTTACCTTTTATTGTCTTCATGCCATGTTTCTGTTCAGTATAGCCCCATAGTCATTTATGTATTTTTATTAGTGAGTAATTCTTTTTTTTTTTTTTTGAGAGAGATTTTTGCTATAGGGCGCGTGCACTCGCCAGACAGACAGAGACAGACATAGAGACAGAAAGCGAGAAATCACCCCCCAGGGGGGATGGTCACACCGCAATCCCTTCTCCTCCATTCTCCTCTTGGGATCTTGGGCACACACGCACACGCGCCTGGCGTGAGTTTTAAGCCACCGGGTCCGGGACGCGAACGGCGGCCAACTACGTGGGAGTCCAGCAACATAGCCATTATGCTAACGGCTGGTTACCATTAGTGAGTAATTCTAATAGGAAGTTAAAATTGGGGTGATAGTGCTCATTTTTGCACCTAAATTCCCCCATTTTATGCCAGAGATGATAAGAGAGAGAGAGAGAAAGCATCCCCCAATGGGACCTAGTCACACTGCAATCCTTTTTCTTTCAGTTCTCTGTCCTTCCAGGCTCTTGGGCATGCACACACATGCCTGGTGTGTTTTTAAAGCTAACAGGGCCAAGACTTGAACCCTGGTAGGCCAGATGGGATCTAGCTTCCACTGTACAATGCTTGATTGCTTTGCTATGCTATGAGCACCCTGCCTCCACTCCTGCAAATACCCTTTTATCCAACTGTATGATTATCCCAGCATCAGGTCAGACTGTGGGGACCCCTACCCTGTTCAGAACTGCTGCCTCAACCCTGCCTTTTTAAAATTTCTGGCCATCAAACCTGGATGACATTTCTACCTCATGCGAAGAAGCATGAAAGAAGAAAGAACGCAGCATAAGATGAGTTTTTCCCTTAAAGAAAAAAAAGAATTGGCTCAGTCCATCCTGGAGAGGATTCTCTTGTGAAGGTTTTTCTGGGGATCTGTAGAAAGGGTGATCTCCCATCTCCCTTCCTTACTTCCCAGTAAGGAAGCCTAATGATAGGTGCAATGGCATATAGTGTATTTGTAATTGTTAGTTCTTGCCAATTGACCCTAACTGCCCTGTCTTTTCCTTCCTACATCAGCTCATACCCCAGACAACAGCTTTCTGGGGTTCGTGGTTGAGCAGCACCTGAACTCCAGTGACATTCACCACATTAACGAGATCAAAAGACAGAACCAGTCTCTGGTGTATGGCAAAGTGGATAGCTTCTGGAAGGTGAGTCGGTCTATGTCTGTCTGTCTCTCTCTCTCTCTCTCTGACAAGAAACTTGTTGAGTAATTTAATTTAACTTTGATCTGGGGAGTAATCAAGCCAAGTGCCCAGGGCTTAATGGGATCTGCTTAGAAGTAAACAAGAATGTTCAAGGATTTGGTTGCTCAGCATTTGGGTATTTAATTAAAGCTATACCTGATCATTCAGGTGGAGGCTGTATGACAAACCCCTTTACTCTGCAGGTCGGAAGTGACACATTGCAACTCCATTCACATCTTGTCCTTGCTTCCGAGCACCAGGGTCCCATGGGGGTCAGGAGTATCTTTCTGGAACTAAGCACTGATTGGAGAGACTTGAGAGTCTTTCCTCGTGCCTCCTGGGAAGTAGTCTAGGGCAGTATGTGGCTCTGTTTCCTTGGAGTTCAGTGGCCTTTGCACCTTTTAGCTGTAGTCAGTTCTCACCCAGCTGGAAACAAACAGCCAACCAAGCTGACTGTGGGCTCTTTGCCCAGGATAAAACAGGTCTTGGATAAAACAGCACCTGACCATGTATTGGGCCAGGTTTTCCAAAATGGTGAACCCCATTGCCTTTCTGTGGTGATGCCCAGAATGCACTCGAGGGAGATGCAGCCCAAGAGCCAGATTAGGTGGGATGCATTAACAGGCAGTGTAGACCTTCTTAGACAAGAGGTCTGTTTCACTGGGCAGGTGTCATAATATTTTCTTTGTGAGGAAATTTTTATAGGACAGAAGTCCCCAGGACTTCAAAACATGCCTCTTCATAAATGTAAAAACAAACCACTTTCTGGAGTGATCACAAACTTTTGTCTTATATTTGGTCATCAGAAAAGTTAAGGTACATTTTTGCATAGAAAAGCAATGAAAAATACATCATGACTTTCCCAACTAATCTCTCCCTATTGAGGAAGTTAGAAATCTTGCAACTTAAGGGAACACAGAGGTGATACAGGATAAATAATTGAGTCATTGCTTTTTCTGTGGTCAAAAGGGGAAAAACAGCACACAGTGCTTCAGCTCAAAGACTCTAACTTTATTGATTTGATATCACAGAGATGCTCTGATCAGCCTACTTCTAGTTTAATTCCAGGTAACTGTCTTTGTTATGAACAGCTGGAATTTTGTCATTGTTTAGTTCAGTAGTTTTACCCTCTTCTCCCCTGCAGGGGGATTTGGCTATGTCTGGAAACAGTTCTGGTTGTCACAGCTGGGTGGTGGTATTACTGGTGTCTAAGTCACAGAGGCCAGGGATTTGGCACATCCTATGATGTGCCGGACAATACAGAGAATCACATGACATGAAATATCAGTAGTGCCAAGGTTGAGAAACCCTGGGCTGATCACTGAGAATTATTTCTTGAATGCATTACTCCACACTTAATCTTTTCAAGGAAAAAAAAAATCAGTGAGATTATAAGTGGCTATTTAAAATGTCCTCATTAATTTATAAATCTTTTCTTCCCTTGTATCAATGTACCCCATGTTGATGGTACATTTTTCAGATGACATTTTAAGTTGAGTTAAAAAGGACATACATGCTGGGTGTTCCCATTCTCAGTTTGGCTGGGAAATGAGTGGATCATGGCATTGGTTTTAGAAAGATTCAGGTTCTTAAAGAAAAGCTGAAGCTCCTTTGTCCATCTATACCTGCTCAGGGAGAATCGCTTGCAGTTCACATGGGCTTGACCTTAAAATTCTATCATATGTGTTTTGGATTTGAATACAACCTCCTCATATGTGCTTTCAGTAGCTTTTTTCATTTCCTTAGAAAAACAAAACAATAAATTAGTTCAGAAAGCGTTTTGGTTACCTATAATATCGTTGATAAATTAGTACTGCCACTAAAGGGATGACTTTCACTATACCAGTCAGAATCCTAAAAGCATCAACCACGTTGTTCTAGTGATTTGTGGTGTGATTTGGAAATCCTTCTGTATTTTGAGGTGTTAAAACTCTGCAGGTGTGGGCCAGCAGGTGACGTGGTGGTTAAAGGCGCTGGACTCCCACATGACCGACCACAGTTTGAGTCCTGGACATGGCAGCTTGCTCTCTCTTTTCCTCTCTCTCTGTCTGTCTGTCTCTGGTCAAATTAAAGAATAATAATAATAATAATAAATTAATTTAAATAAAATAATTCTTTATTTAAAAAAAAAACCTCAGTAGGTTACCCAACCTTCTGTACCATGAGTCATCCAAAGATTATAAAAGGCTGAGTTGTAGTGTGTCTACGTTTATCCTTGCCCAAATACTGAAAATTTAGGGTGTTATTTAAATTTTATTACATCATTCTAGCATTCTCTGCTTGGAAAGGGCCAAAAAAAAAAGATCAAAAGTGTCATAAAGTTTTCAAAGAAATTCGGGACATCATTTTCGACAATTGAACACAGCACAGTATCTGCGAGTTTAGGTTGTTTTTCCAAAACATTCCCATGGATTACGTGAATGCACACAGAAAATGGATTTTTTTTTTTTTTTGAGAGGTTTTCACTATAGGGCGCGTGCGCTCGCCAGACAGAGACAGAGAGACAGAAAGCGAGAAATCACCCCTCAGGGGGGATGCCCTCGCTGCAATCCCTTCTCCATTCTCCTCTCGGGATCCTGGGCACGCACACACACGCGTCTGGCGTGAGTTTTAAGCCACAAGGTCCAGGACGCAAACCGCGGTCGACTACGTGGGAGTCCAGCGACATAGCCATTACACTAACTGCTGGTCCCAGAAAATGGATATCTTTTAAGAGAGAAGTTATTTCAAGCCACTCCCCCTTTTGTTTTTTTGGCCAGTGTGTGCATGTGCCCACTGAGGAGAGAGATGGGGGAAATGTGAAAGTCCCCTCCATGGGGGAATGGTCATGGCAATCCCTTCTCTGCTATTTTTCCCTCTCTTGGATTTTGGGCATGCATGCACATGTGCTCAGCATGTTTCTGAAGCCACCAGGTTTAGGACTCAAAATGTGAATTCAGCCATGTGGGATCCAACTGCATTAAGCACCATGCCATGGGCTGGCCCTTGAGCTAGCTAGCTAACTTGCTTTTTCTTCCCTCCATCCCTCCCTCCTCTCTCTCTCTTTCTTTTTAAGGTTTTTGTCATAGGGTGTGTACACCCATTGGAAAGAGACAGAGAGAGGAAAAGTGAGAAATCAGCCCCCCCCCGGGGGGGTGTGACCATACTGCAGTCCCTTCTCCATTCTCTAGAGATTTTGGACAAGCACAGGCACATGTATCCAGTGTGATCTTCAAGCTAATAGATCTGGACTTGAACCATGGTCAATCCTGTGGGTTTCCACTGCCTTAAACTCTGCTGCTGACCCCAAGCACATTTTTTATGCTGCATTCAATACAAGCTTTAACTATAGGAAGTTTCATAAATTGTTTCTCCATTTACCTTAATTCTCCTTTACCTCAGAGATCTTTGGAAAAGGACATGACACCTGTCAATTTCAGGAAGTTCAGAATTTCCACCCAGAGTGGGGTTGGGGGAGGAGAGAGTTTGTACCAGATGATTTTGGAAGATCCTCCTTCACCCTCAAATTCTAGGAATTGCTGAAATTCTAAGATATCTGCTGTGCTCTAAATCTGATTCCGCAAGCAGGGTGTTTCCACTTCCCAGAGCCCTTCACAGCCATCAGTTAAGGTGTTGCCCACGCGTCCTTTTGAGAAAGCAAGGGCAGCTGTCACTTCCTTTACTGTCCTATTGATGGATGAGAAACTGACTCAAGGAGATGGAACAACGCAGCCAAGATGCCACAGCACATGACGTGACACAGCCAGGACTGGAATTGGGGTTCTGATGCCACCTTGGAGGCTTGCCACTTGTCTAATGGAGTGTTCCTCTGCCTCTACTCTGAAGGGTGCTTCTGTGTTGGCAGCAGGATTCCAAAGCTGGAAAAGAAGGTCTCCACAGGTGACCTAAGTGCAGCAGGAGCCCTGGGCAAATTTGGCATGATAAGTAAAATGTTCTTCCTGGTTGTTCATAAGATGTTCAGGTCAGCCTTGCCTTGCAGCCAGTACTACAGAGTACACCTTATTTGAAAAATTCTAATTATTTCCAGCTCTGGTACTCAGGTCTTGGCTTTCCCCAGCCCTAGCCTGTCTAGCACTACCCAAGTCAACAGTGTCAGCTGAAATTGCAAAGGTCCTTTTTTCTAGACTTCAAGATTTTTCTGAAAGCATATCTTCAAATTACATGTAGTCTCTCTTCTCTGGGCCTAAGAAGTTGGGCAACAAAACTCTCAGAACTGTGCTGCAGCCAGAATGTGTTTTTCTGAAATAGGAATTGGATTGTGTTATTTCTTTCCTCAACATCTCCAAAGGCTTTGTTTTAAACATAGAACAAGGGGCTGACAGTGGTGCAGTGGTAAAAAGCAGTACTGTGTGAGGCCAGCCCACAGGGGAAGGTTCTGTGTTTGCATCTGAATATGACCTCAGTATCACACATGCCCATGATCCTGGCTGGCTGAAATAGGTGTAGATTATGGCATCAAGACCCTGTTGAAGTGGCTATCTCTCTGGCTCCGTCTCTCTCTGGCTTATGGAAGAAATAAATAAAAATTTAAAAACAGAAAATGGAGCTAGTCAGTGGTGCAGTGGTTAAGGTCCTGGACTCCCACATGGTCGACCACAGTTCAAGTCCTGAACCTAGCAGCTTGAAAATCATGCCAGGTGCATGTGCATGCATGCCCAAAAGCCTGAAAGGAGAATGGAAGAGAAGGGATCGTGGCAGGGCCATTCCCCCGGGGGAGGAGAGGGGGTGATTTCCCTCTCCTCCTCCCTCTCTCTCCCCAGCAAGTACACATGCACTATGGCAAAAACAAAACTAAACTCAAACAATACACAGAAGATGGAAATATAGAACATGTTACATTTACAATGAATTCCAGCGTCAGTAGCATGGTTTGGCAAGCCATCCCTGCCCTGTACCCACTGCTCTCCCTGCCTCAGGGCAGTGGCCATGCAGGCTCCTACATGGCACTCCCTCCCACCTGGGGA